TGGGGTAGGGCCAATTGGGGGGTTGGGGCACTGCCCCCTGTCACACTCAAGGCAGGGTCAGTGGGGAGGCTGTGGCACCACCCCCTGTCATGCACAAAGCAGGGCCAATCAGGGGGTTGGGGCGCTGCCCCCTGTCATGCACAGAGCAGGGCCCATCAGAGGGGTTGGAGCTCCGTACCCTGACACACACAGAACAGGGTCAATCAGGGAGTTGGGGAGCTCCCCCCTGTCACTCACAGAGTAGGGCCGATAGGGGAGTTGGGGCACCGCCCCGTCACACACAGAGCAGGGCAGATCAGGGGGTTGGGGCACCGCCCTCTATCACCCACAGCGCAGGGCCAATCAGGGTGTTGGGGCGCCGCCACTGTCACACTCAGGGCAGGGCCAATGGGGAGGTTATGGCTCTACCCCATCACACACAGAGCAGGGCCCGTGGGGGGGGCGCCGCACCCTGTCACACACAGAGCCGTAGGGCGATCAGGGGATTGGGGAGCTACCCCCTATCAGGCACAGAGCAGGGCTAATCAGGGGGTTGGGGCGCCTTCCCCCATCACGAACAGAGCAGGGTGGATAGGGAGGTTGTGGCCCCGCCCCCTGTCACACACAGAGCCGCAGGGCGATCAGGGGGTTTGGGCGCTGCCCCCTGTCACGCTGATCCCGGTGCCAGGAGGCCTCGCAGCTCCGCTGATCCTGGTGCTGGGAGGCATATTACCCTTTTACTCTATAGGATAGGATAAAGGCCTGGTGCATGGGTGGGGGCTGGCTGGTTTGCCCTGAAGGGTATCCTGGATCAGGGTGGGGGTCCCCACTGGGGTGCCTGGCCAGCCTGGATGAGGGGACAATGGCTGTTTGCAGCTGGTCACACACCCTTCAGGGTGGGGGTCCCCACTGGGGTGCCTGGCCAGTCTGGGTGAGAGGCTGAGGGCTGTTTTCAGGCTGGCGGGTGACTGAAGCTCCCAACTGCTTCTTTTTTCCTTTTTTTTTTTTTATTCTGGGCCAGCTTAGCTCTGACTCCAGCTCTGAGGCCTCTGCTGCTGAAAGCAGGTATCTGGTTTGTGTTCTATAATCGAAACACTGTATCAACTCCAGCTCTGAGATCCCGGCTCGCTGAAAGCAGGTTTCTGGGGTTTTGTTTAGCTTCTATATTTGTTACAATGTTTCAAACTGCAAGCTCAGAGGCCGGCAAGGCAGGCAGGGAACGTTGGAGTCCTCCATCACTGAAGCAAGCAAGCCTCATGTTCGCTTCCAGCTGCCTGGCTGCCAGCCGCCATCTTGGCTGGCAGTTAATTTGCAGATCGCCCTGATTAGCCAATGGGAAGGGTAGCGGTCGTATGATAATTACCATGTTTCTCTTTTATTAGATAGGATACAAGTCCATCCCCATGCAATGCATGGCTAGGCCATCTTGTTCACTGACTACCAAGTCTCCTGACCACTTATCTTGATCAGCTGTTTTCTAGACACACCTAAGTCATCGGAGGATCCCAAGGCAATTCATTTTCTACATCTGTCTAGGCCAGAATAATCTGGAGTTTTTGATTAAACATTTTTCCCTATTGATAGATCCCCTATGTCCCTTAGCTTTAGAGCAACAAGAAATCTTTCCATTTAATGACCTGTCAGGCTTATTAGATAGGAATGTCAAATTCTCCGGAGCCAGAAAATAAAAAAATTATTATCAATCATAACTCCTGTTCCCATAAGCCTTTGCGAGTGAACACCCCTCAAAAACCATTCCAATGAGTGCCCAGTGCTTTCTTTCAAGAGTCCATAAAACACTATGGTTTATAGCATGTAACCTGTGACTAGACCAGTGATGGCGAACCTTTTGAGCTCAGCGTGTCAGCATTTTGAAAAACCCTAACTTAACTCTGGCGCCGTGTCACATATAGAAATTTTTTGATATTTGCAACCATAGTAAAACAAAGACTTATATTTTTGATATTTATTTTATATATTTAAATGCCATTTAACAAAGAAAAATCAACCAAAAAAATGAGTTCGCGTGTCACCTCTGACACGTGTCATAGGTTCGCCATCACTGGACTAGACTAAGGTCACACAATTCTGTCATTCATTAACTGTATGACTTTGGAAAATTTACTTCATCTTTTTGTGTTTCAATTTAAATAATTATTATACTCACTTCCTAAGGTTGTTATGAGAATTAAAGGAGTTAATATAAAGTGTTCAGAATGGGATTTGGCATGCAGTAAATAAGTTATTTATTACCACCACCAAATCGTCTGTCGCATGTTCAATCTCTCAAACATAAGCTGCTTCAGAGTAGGCTCTAGATTTAATTCATCATAAAAAACCCAATACCTCTGACCATCAGTGATGCACAGATATTTGTTAAGTGTTACATTTATGCCTCTATTTATTTAATGTTACAAAAGGTTCCCTAAAAAGGAGTGAATATGCTTGAATACACCTGAGTTTCATTTCTGATTAATATGCACTTAATTCTACCTAATGAGAAGATAAACACCAACATGGCTAGTATTAATCTTTTCATCTAGACACTTGTGACTGGATTTTGAAAGCACTCAAAATCATTTAGTGAGAATTCAAGCATTTACTACACCTTATTTGACAACTATCACCCTAAATTTATAAGCTAAATTAAAATCCACTTTGATTAATTGGGAAACTCTCTAGAAACTTTCCAAACCATTTCTGCCCTATATCTGTTCAACCTTGAAAGTTCTGTCATATATCCCTTCATTGTTAAGAGTCAAGTTCAACTGGTAGCTGAAAGGAAACTTTTTGCAATGTGGGTGCATTACTAATTTTTTTATCGCTCAAAACATCACACATTAAGCTTCTCCAAATTATTTTAAAGGTTCAATAGCTGTTTGAAATGAAACTTTCCTTCTTCTAGCACCAAACCCATTTTTTAGGAGAAATTAATGTTTCTACCACCTCAAGATAAGAGATAATAAGGCAACATTCCCCTTGGAATGGCATAATGTATAAAGGGACTAGTAAATCTCGGCTCTGCCTATTCCGATACTACCATCCTTGGGTTTTAATTAGTATAAAAGCTGTTTCCAAGCAGATGGACTTTCCTCTGGCAGTTCATCATGGTCCACAAAGACAGTGATGACTGTCTTTGGATGCTAGCTGGGCTTATGGCAAGTCCCACAAAAGTCTTATTTTCAACTTACTTCAGCATCTATATTAATTTAGATAAGCCTTGTTAACACTCCAGCAGTAGCAAATCTGGTCATTCTTTTCCTGGGAAATTGGAGATTTAGCCAGCTGAATTTTCTAAGCTCTTTATTTTTTTTAATCCTCACCCAAGGATATTTTTCCATTGATTTTTAGAGAGAGTGGGAGGGAGAGGGAAAGACAGAGACAAACACCAATGTGAGAGAGACATATCGATTGGTTGCCTCCTGCATGCCCCTGACAGGGCTGGGAGCCTGCAACCGGCTAGGGCTAAGCTCTTCATTTTATTTATTTATTTATTTATTTATTTATAATATATTTTATTGATTTTTTACAGAGAGGAAGGGAGAGGGATAGAAAGTTAGAAACATCGATGAGAGAGAAACATCGATCAGCTGCCTCCTGCACACCCCCTACTGGGGATGTGCCCGCAACCAAGGTACATGCCCTTGACTGGAATCGAATCTGGGATCCTTGAGTCCACAGGCCGATGCTCTCTATCCACTGAGCCAAACCAGTCAGGGCAAGCTCTTCATTTTAAATGCAGGGTGGTTTGTCCCTGTCCTCTACTCCTTACCTTCCCTGGTTTTTTATATGCCACCTCCAAAAAAGTCAAATACTTCCTTGAGCAAAACATTATCTTTGTTTTAATGCATGTTTAATATGTTTTATTTTTTAATATTTATTTATTAAATTGATTGGGGTGACAACTGGTCAACATGGACATATACATACATTTCAGGTGCAGGTTTCTGTTACAAGATCTGTATATTGCACTGTGTGCCCACCACCTTACTGTCACCTTACATGAGGATCCCTTTCTCCCCCAACCCCCAATATTATCTGTTATAGACATTTCTTTTTTTTTTTTTTTTAAATATATTTTATTGATTTTTTACAGAGAGAGGAAGGGAGAGAAATAGAGAGTCAGAAACATCGATGGGAGAGAAACATCGATCAGCCGCCTCCTGCACATCTCCCACTGGGGATGTGCCCGCAACCCAGGCACCTGCCCCTGACCGGAATCGAACCCGGGACCCCTCAGTCCGCAGGCCGACGCTCTCTCCACTGAGCCAAACCGGTTTCGGCTAGACATTTCTTATTAAGTCAGTAAACTTATTAGTGACATACTCGAATTTCTATAAAGATTTAAGAAACATCCTTCTTCCTCTTTATTGTTTCTTTTTTATTATTACCAACTTAAAAACAATTAGGGATACTTAACCTGAAAGAACAGTTTCACAATGAAATGAGAACCTGTCATTAGGATACCTCCATTTTTTCTCTAAATATTCTGATGTGCAGTGTGCAAAAGCAGTCACTATCTGCAATCAAATTGCCTCTAGAGCAGCGGCTCTCAACCTGTGGGTCGCGACCCCTTTGGCGGTCGAACGACCCTTTCACAGGGGTCACCTAAGACCATCCTGCAGATCAGATATTTACATGACGATTCATAACAGTAGCAACATTACAGTTATGAAGTAGCAACGAAAATAATTTTATGGTTGGGTCACAACATGAGGAACTGTATTTAAAGGGCCAGAAGGTTGAGAACCACTGCTCTAGAGCATATAACTTTCTAAATAAAGACCCCACTGCTATGCAAACATCTCCAAGTAAAACAATTGTTTAAAGCCACTAAAAGTTTTTAAAGCTACCAAAAGTGTAAAAGGCAAAGCTACAGAAAGTCAACACTATCCAAACTTGTCTTTAGCACTCAAGAACTCTTCAGCTGAGAGCTAAAAATACTGCAGTACAGAAGGGAAAGGGCTACGAGAGGGCTTGTGTGAAAACAGAACTATCAACAGAGGCTGCCAAACTGCTACCTGCACTCACTTGCATCAGCACAGGACTGTCAGGCATTTTCTGAGGAGAAGCCCTATGCCCCTGGAAGATTAATGGGTCACAATTTCCACCTGAATAAAAAAATCAGAATGCTGATACAACTCAGGTAAATTTGACATTTATAAAGTAATTCCTCAAAAACTTTGTTTCTAGGCAAATCTATAACCCCCTTCAAAAAACTGGTTTTATAAAGCAAATTAAATCATATTCAAGACAACAGTATTTACAAGTTAGCTTATTAAAGCCACTGAAATATAATCATTCAAACTTGGCCATAAATCACATAAACATCTTTAAAAATACAAAATTATCATCTTCAAATGATAAATGATTACTTAATCAATCTTCTAAATGTAGCTCTATATCATAATGTTTTCCCTTAAGTTGTTTTAAGTTGTTAAAAGAAATATAATGTTTTTTAAATAATTATAACTTTAACTGATGAACAAAATAGATTCAGAGTAATAGAAGCATGGATCAGACTGTTGAACCACAGAGGAAAAGAGGGGGTGGGTGGGTGGATGAGAGAGCAACAAAAGAACTTAGCATAGATGCATAACCCATGGGCACAGGCAATACAATAGGGTGGTGAAGGCCTGGGGTGAAGGGTGGGAGAGGGCTAGAAAGGGTCAATGGGGGGAAAGGGGACATATGTAATACTTTCTACAATGAAGATTTTAAAATAATAATAATTATAACTCTATTACTTATTATCTTAAATATATTCTTAAATATATATATATATATATATAAAGCAATAAATGCAAACTATAATTGATAAAGAAGAACATGAGGTACAAAGTGGATTTTTATTGAATTTCTATAAAAATCTGGTTCCAAAATTAAATATATAATCTCACACTATTTGCTTGTGTGTGTAAATACCTACACATACATCTCCAATAAAACTCCACTAACTTATAACAGGCAATAGTGATGTAGCAATATAAAAAACAGTAACTATGTGAAAGTCAAACAATGGAAAAAATTAAACCTTCAGAGCTTCCATTAGTCATCAGAATTATCTTACAAGTCTCTTTGATTTGTGATGGAGAACTGAGCATTTGAAGCAGCAGTAGTCAAACTTATTGGACTTTTAACAATATCTAATTTTGAACTCTTTCGCCCCATTTCCCCTTACAACTGCTGTATGACATAGGGTGGGGGCAAAAGTAGGTTTATAGTTGTGAGTACGCAAAACAGTTTATTATCTTCCATATGAACAACTGTAAACCTACTTTTGCCCACCCTGTGTAATTATTTTTAATGAAGTAAATATAAGTTTTTCTGATAATCTTAAAACACCCTGAAAACAAAACTGGAGATTCTGACACTACAGTATGCCCTAACAGGTGAGAAAACACTGCTTTGGTCATTTCAAGCCCTCTATTTTTATAGAAATGAGTGACTACTTTTAAGGTAAAGTTAATGTCTATATTCCAGAGCAAACTGGAAGACTGAATGTCTGCAAACATTACAAAATCGCAGTTTTTAACTTTTAAGTCATATCAATCACAAGACCAGTTTTGGGGGGAAAGTGTTAATATATGTAAACAACTGAAAACTTATCCTAAAATATAGGTACCAACAATGCAAACACAAATGCTGTCAACTTAGAGCTAGCCATCCCCACCAACAAAACAGCTCCAACCCTTCCTCATATGTGTGCTCCCTTTTCTAGAGTCTTCCACTCAAGTCCAGCCAGCACAGGCGGCTCTGCTAACTCCACAGCAGGGCAGGCCCAATGCCCTGAGCCATGGTCTCCAATCGCCCTCAGACTTGTCCTCTCTGAGAGACGAGCAGCAGCCAAGGTGCCCAGTACACAGCTGCTCCTGCACCGCCTCACTCAGGCCCTAGGTACTATCAATGCAGCATCAGTAGTGAAGCACTGAACAACCAACCAGGATCAACTCGAGTGAGCCCACTAAGGGCAGGCACCAATTCTATTCATTTCTGTACCAATAACCTTCCTCACTTTATGGTACCTAGGTGTCCAATATGTGCTTTGTGAGTGAATGTATAAAACTGTTGAATCCCAAAAGCTGAAAAATAAAGAGGACCTCCCAGAGAGGTAGAAATAAAAAGAGACATGTGAGAAAGTAGTGACAGTATGACATGCTAGTGAAGGCAATCCAAAGTGGAAATATACGTGCTCCTGTGTTAGATTCTTTCTGTATATTAAAGTAGGCAATGACACAAACGTATCATCATTCCTATAACAATGGGAAAGAGACAGGACCATTTAAACAACCTAACAGCATTTTTAATCTACCTACAAAGCTATTTATAGACAATGTGTACATATTTTAAACTTAATAAAATCAATATGTTTCTCTTGTTTTATGCCCACAATAGGAACTAAGAA